AGCGCTTTACGGTTTAAAACAAGCTCCTAGAGCTTGGTATGAAAGATTGTCAAATTTTTTAATTGAAAAAGATTTTTCAAAAGGGAAGGTTGACACTACATTGTTTTTAAAGCATAAAGGTAAAGATTTATTAGTAGTTCAAATTTATGTTGATGATATAATATTTGGTTCTACTAATGATGTTCTTTGCCAAAATTTTTCTAAGCTAATGCAAAGTGAATTCGAGATGAGCATGATGGGGGAGCTCTCATTTTTCTTAGGACTCCAAATCAAGCAAAGAAAAGATGGCATCTTCATCAATTAAGCTAAGTATGTCAAAGACATGCTCAAGAAGTTTGGAATGGAAAATGGGAAACCGTATGACACTCCAATGAGTTCATCAACAAAGCTTGACATAGATGAATGAGGTAAATGTGTGGATGTTAAATTATATAGGTCAATGATTGGTTCTTTTCTTTATCTAACTGCAAGTAGACCGAACATTATGTTTAGTGTTTGGTTATGTGCTAGATTTCAATCATGCCCTAAGGAATCACATTTACTAGTTGTTAAGAGAGAATCTTTAGATACCTTAAGGACACTCCTAATTTAGGACTTTGGTATCCTAGAGACTCTAGTTTTAGCTTGCATGCCTTCTCTGATGCGGACTATGGAGGATGCAAATTAGATAGGAAAAACACCTTCGGTACTTTCCAATTCCTTGGAAATATACTGATTTCTTGGTTTTCAAAGAAACAAAATTGTGTTGTATTATCTACCACTGAATCGGAATATATTTCAGCCGGTAGTTGTTGTGCACAAGTTTTATGGATGAAACAACAACTTTTTTATTATGAAATTGAAGTAGGTACCATTCGTATCAAGTGTGACAATACTAGTGATATTTGTCTCACTAAAATCCCATCCAACACTCTAGAACTAAGCATATTGAAATAAGACATCACTTCATTAGAGACCATGTCGTTAAAGAAGATGTAGTTCTAGAATTTGTTGATACTTTGCGTCAATTAGCGGATATCTTTACAAAACCTTTAGACAAAGAAAGATTTTGGACACTTAGGAGAGAATTTGGTTTAACTGATCTATCTTCACTTAGTGTTTAAAATAATTTTATCACTTTTAAGAATAAATGAAAAAATGCTTATAATAATAATTTTTGATTGCATTCTTTGCTATTAGTTAGGGGGAGTTTATGTTCTTTGGTGAAAATTAATTTTATGTTCAAATATAATTTAAAGATTAATTTGATTGATTGAACATGATTAATTTTCATTATATGAGTTGCCAATACCACTAGAGCTAATTAATTTAGCATTTTTGAGTGTTTAAAATAGATTTTTGACATTTTTGTGCTTAATACATCGATACGCCTAACAGTGCATCGATGCATCCTTGAATGTGCATCGATATACCATGAAGGTGCACTGATGCACGCCTTGAATGTGCATCGATACACCATGAAGGTGCACCTAACAAGGTCATGCATCGATGCATCGGTTGGGTTTTTGGGTTTAAAAGGCTTATTTTCTTATTTTCAAACCCTAAAAACTAAACCCTCTCAACCGTACGCCTCTCTTCATCTTTAAATTTTCCTCTTGCTCTAAAATCAACGAAAATTTGTCAGAATCTTTGAACTTTTCATCTCTATATCCTGCTACTATCATTAAATCGTGCAACACAACATCTCATTATCTTCAATCTGAAAATTTTCAAGTTATTTTTCTAAAAACTTCTAGTTTATCATATTTTGATCTTAGGACTAGTTCTAGGATGAACATTATATCGGGCATTGATTGTTTGATGATTTCAAACTAGATTTTACAACCAATTTCATCAAAAACTCACAAATTTTCAAAGAATTTTTGAATTTTCGAAATTTAAAAAAATCAAAAATCAAAAATTGATTTCTAAATTTGATGTTTTTGATTTAATTATGTTGTTTAATGAAAAACTATACATATTATAATTTTCAAACATTGTTTTCTAAATAGTTTTTCAAAACTATGCCCATTAGGATTCGATTTAGAGAACCTTGAATTATTGCGGACTCAATTGAGTTTTAGGATTGATTAAATTGCATACATGTGTTTCAATTTGCAGGTTATTTTCCTTTTTCGATTCCTAAACCATGTCTAAACCCCAAACGCCCTAGAACTTCATCGAGTCGTTCTCGTTCAAACCAACCTCCTAATCCCATTCCTCCTCCACCTACATCTCTTATAGGATCCTGTTTTAATATGCATGAACGTCGTAGAGACGACTTGTACCATAGGTATATAAATTCTTTCCAATCTTATAGAATCCGGGAATAGCATATTCCTTCTCTTCAAGCCATGATAGATATTAACTTTGAATACCTTCCGATTCTTAAAACTTAGAAGTTTGATAAAATGTTTCACCTCAAACCTATCGTCTATCATTAGTTAGTCCGCATTTTCTACTCCAATGCGATATTTATTCAAAACCAAACTCAATGTGTGACTATAGCAATTAGATCATATCTTTTAGGCCAATATATTAATATTGACCCCGAGACTATAGCTTTCCATTTTGGGTTAGATGACGAAGATTTATTTAATGAGAATGAAACTGTGGATTATCCCTATGTCCCAAACGCTAGTGTTAGTACTTTACGTTCTCATCACGATTGTTTTCTTCATTTGATGATCTCTTGGTGGTTTAGACCATCCGAAGGTAGGTACTCCATTCTTCGTGCTAGGGATTTATGGTGTATGCACTATCTCAAGAATAAAAACAAAATAAATCTACCCCACATTATTTTTAGTCAACTAGTGGATATCATAAACATTGTTCCTTCAAAACATGTCAAAACATTAGTTTATAGATGTCTTCTTAGTAACCGTTTTATCAAACTCGGTCTAAATGTCTCTCTTGACAATCCTATTCCTCTCCAAAACCCAATCAATCTCATCTCGTTGAAGAAAGAGGATTGGAAACAAGACGAGGAAACTGGTCTTTGGGTCTTTCGACCCGATAAACAAACTCCGAGAGCGAGTTCTTCACGAGCTGCTCATATCTCCTCTCGTGCTCCTCCTCCTCCTCTGGTTGCTGAGGATGATCCAAAATTTCAGGAGCTCATGCAATATATCGACGATCACGTACCAGATGATGAGCCTGCACCGGAACCAGCACGGTAAGAAGATCAAACGCCACCATATTTTCGATCTTTCTTAGATTCGTTTGATCTGAGGTTTGCTTTCATGGAGTCTCAGATTACTGAGTTTCAGCGGGAGATCCGTGAATGAATGGACGCTCTCACTCTTGAAGTTCGAGCTCATTATCCTCCTCATCCCGATCCTCCGATGGAGTAGATTTGTTTCCTTGTTATGCTTTCTTGGTTTTCTAAAACTTGGATTGATTTTGATGTTTCTGAATTGTTTATTTTGGATCTTTAAATGTTTGAATTTGTTAGGAGTTATGATTTGGATGCTTGGCTGATTGAACTTATTATATATATTTGGTTTGGTTGAATTTTCTTATTTTTGCATCATTAGACATATATGACCAATTTATGTCATTTCACATTTGATTATGAATATTGTTTATGAAAGCTAATGGCTAATCTCTCTTTTGATCTTAGCAGCTTAAGCTATATATATATTTAATCAATTGACTATGTTTTTCAAAACCTTGTTTAAATCGATTTTCAGGTCTTTTGGATTTAACAAAAAGGGGGAGAAATGTTAAAGTGTTAAAATGTTTTAAAGGGGAGAAGTGTTAAAGTAAGGGGGAGTAATTTCAAACTTAATTTTTCAAAATTTATTTTCAAAGAAAATCTTAAAATTACACACATGTTTTGTTATATCAAAAAGGGGAGATTGTTGAAAACATTTTGATGTTTCGATATAACAAATTAAGTTAAAAGAATTTTAAGATTTTACAAATGATTTTATAAGTATATTCGATTTAATTACTCGAATATCAAATTATTACTCCAAGTCTTCAAGATTAATTTCAAACCTTACTAAATATGTAAAATTGTATTTTATACTTAATATATTTTTGAAACAATTTTCACAAAGTATTTTGAACCAAAATCAAGCCTAAAATCAATTTTTCAGAGTGATGCACCAATGCACCAATCCATGCATCGATGCACCATGGAATAAATTGATCATCGAATGCATTTCATGCACCGATGCACATACTATGCATCGATGCAGTCAGAGTTTTATGAAAACATCGAATGCATTTGATACATCGATGCACCAACCATGCATCGATGCAATCAGGCTATTTTGAAACATCGAATGCATTTTATGCATTGATGCACTCTTAGTGCACCGATGCACTAAGGGTCCAACGGTCAAAATATTTGAATTTTACACTCGAAGCACCGATGCACCTAGTGTATGCATCGATGCACTGACGCTCCCAACTGATTTTATTAATTGTTTTCACACTTAAACGGCTATATTGACTCCACTAACCATCCCCAACATTTAGAATCATTTGAAGGAGTATTTAAACAAGTTCTGAAGCCATTGATCAACAACAATCAAGAAGAAATCATAGAGAAACAAGAGAGAAAACATTAAACATCAAGTTTGTGCAATTCAAGCCAAATTTCCTTTCAATATTCATTTTGCTTTCAAGAACACAATTTGTGCTCATTTATAATTATCTTTGAGTGTTCTTATCTTGTTCTAGAATTGTGCAAACATATTGCCTTGTGAGGTTTTCCTTGTAAGTTTGCAAATTTGTGTATTTCTCTTTGAAAAAGAGTGTGCTCAAGAATTGGGTATAATTCTTGAGGGAGTTGTAAGGTTACTCTTTGTCCTCAAAAGAAAGAACAAATTAGTGAATTTGTTGAAAAATCCTTAGTGTGGATAGCTAAGGTAGTTGACGTAAACTTTGGTTGAGAAAGTCGAACCACTCTAAATCGTTGTGCAATTACTTTCAATTTTCTTCAAAAGCTTCCACCAAATTTTTAATTGCCAATTCACCCCCCTCTTGGCCGATTCCGTCGATCGATTAACTCAACAGAAAAGGTGGGTGAGACAAATCCTCTTGCATTTAGGGTGATAACTAAAGACTCCTTTTGTAGCAGCCACATTCAGGAGGTTAGGCAGAACATTCATGACAAGAACAAAAATGTAAGGTGATAGGGGATCACCTTGCCTCACTCCTCTAGCAGCTTTAAAGTATCCAACAAGACTGCCATTGAAAACAATAGAGTATCTAAAATTTGCAAAACAGGCCCATGTCCAGCCAATGAACTTCTCAGGCAGCCCTAGAGCATACAAAATCACATCAATAAACTCCCAATTTAAGGAATCAAAAGCCTTCTGTAAGTCTATTTTAAGGGCACATCTAGGGGAGATTTTCCTTCTTGAGTAACCCCTAACAAGTTCCTGAGCTAGTAAGGTATTGTCCACTATGCTTCTCCCTTTCACAAATGCAGTTTCGTTCATAGATATCATATCAGGGAAAACAGAAGAGAGGCGATGCACTAAAATTTTAGTGACAGTTTTGTATACAACAGTGCAACATGAGATGGGTCTAAAGTTCTTTACTAAGCTTGGATTGGGGATTTTAGGAACAAGCACAAAAGCTGTTGCATTGAATGAAATAAGCATACATGAGTGATCAAAACAGTACCTGACTGCTGCTAGGAAGTCCTCTCCTAAAATAGACCAGGCCTTCTTGAAAAAGAAAGCATTATAGCGATATGGACCAGAGGACTTATTATTCTCTTGCCCCCACAAGGCCTCCTTGATCTCAGCTTCAGAAACATCCTTGCATAAGCTATCTGATGCATCCCTTGGCAAGGAAAAGCCAAGTAAATCCTTGATAGTGCTGACATTACTGCCTTTTACCTTAGGGTCAACCACCCCAAGTTGGTTCACAAAGAATCTAATCACTTCATTTGACATGTCCTCGAAAGTATCAAGTCTTACACCACTTTGGTTGTATAAGACTATCATTGTGTTGTTTTTCCTTTTAGTGATAACCATGGAGTGAAAGAATCGAGTACCCTGGTCACCATCCCTAATCCAGTCCATTTTTGTTTTTTGCTTGTAAAATAACATCTCAGCCTCCTCAAGGGCCTTTAATTCCTTTTCAGCTTCCAATTCAGCATTAATGCTTCTTCCATCAGTAATTGGATCAAGATTGGCAAACTGTAAACTCTTCAATTTATCCCTCTTCTCCCTTACTTACCCCGAGATGTCACTATAATGGCTCATGTTAAGCTCTTTAAGGCTTATTTTCAACCTTTTGAGCTTTAGGTAGAGAGTTTGAATTGGGTTGGCAGTAACCGGGGCCTGCCATGATTCCTTGACAATGGACATAAAATCAGGGTGCATAGCCCAGAAATTAAAAAACTTGAATGGCTTGGGCTTATTGGCAGGAGCTTCCTTATGCAAACATACTAATGTTGGGCAGTGATCAGAGTCACCAGGTGCCAGAAACTCAACATCAGAAGAAGGAAATGCTTCAATCCAATTTGGGTTGACAAGAACTCGATCCAGCTTGCGTGCCAAGTATGTATCATGTTGCTTATTCGTCCATGTAAACAATGGACCTATGTAATGGTGGTCAAACAGCCCCGAGTCCTCTACACAGCTCTAGAATTCAGACATGTCAGCCATGGTGCCAAAACTAATTTGAGCAGAGCTTTCCTCGGCATTTACGATGGCATTAAAATCACCACCAATTAACAAGCCTTGTTTCCAACAGAACCTTCCACAGAGCTAAGTTGAATCCAAAGATGTCTACGAATAGAGCTATCATTCAAACCATACACAACAGTAATAAAGAATTCAATACCCCCAAAATGACCCTTAAGAGTAATAATTTGATCAAAAGTAGAGCTAATAGAGCAGACTACATTGTTTTGCCAAATGACCCAGATGCGACCATTTTCAGCATAACTGTAGTTGCAACAATACTGCCAGTCACTAAACTTCTCAGACAAGATAACTATGGAATTAATCTCTTTCACTCTAGTTTCCAGGAGATATAGAATGCTAATCTGAGTCCTAATAGCCCAATTCAGAACCTTACCTTGCTTAAGGTGACTATTAAATCCCCTTATGTTCCGAAAACATATTAGCATGATACATTTGAAGAGGAAGAAACACCCCCTCTTTCCTTAAATTTATTGACTTTATCCACATGCTCTTTCTTCTTCAGTTTCAACTCCTGAACTAGCTTTGCCACACCCAAAGAATCGCCTCTCTGTTTTTTACCAGAATCAACAACAGAAATTTCCAGCAAAATATCAGGGTCAATAGAGTTAAGAATTTCAAATTTGTTCTTTAAACCTCCTCCATCAACCTTACCCTCCTTAGTTGATCTTCCTCTACCTCTCTTAATAGGAGGATTACTTGACTGTTCAGCTTGCTTGATCACATCCAATATGACATTGCAACCTTTATCACCATATGTTATTGAGTTGGCAGCAGCATTATTTTCAACAAGATCACCATCAACTCCAACCTGGTCATTCTGCAAAATAACATGAGTAGGATGTCATTTTCTTTTCCAGAGCTAATCCCCTCTGGTGTTGCACTAGAAGTTGCAGCCACAACATTTACATCTCCTATAGTCACACTACTGGCAGAAGGAACATCCTACTTTGTACCATGTACAAACCCTTTGACTCTCCAGACTTGCTCAGTTCTTTTCCCCCGAGGGCATAATCTCACAGAATGCCCAAAATGCCCACAATCAGTACAATAGCTAGGCATCCAAGGAACCGATACCCTAATTCTTGCCACTGATTCATCACTCAGGACAACATCAATATGATCATGAATTAAAGACTCAGCAGGAATCTCAACGCATACTCGAGCATATTCAAGCTTCTCTCTAACAGCTGTAATTGAATCCATATGGAGAGGCTTCCCTACAATGCTTGCAATAAAGCTAAGCCCCTTTCTTGAGAATAGTTCCAAATGAACATTGCACAAGTGAATCCAAATAGGCATTCGACACAAATCAAACTACAATTCTTTCAGATTAGGTTTCCACTTCCTAAGAAAGATCGGTTTATGCTGTACATGCCATGGACCATTTTCTAAAACCCAGTCCGTAGCAATCGAATTAGCAAATGAAAAACGTATAGGTTTGGCCCATCAAGACTCACCTTAATCGGAGAAGCCTTACCCCATAACAGCGTAACAATTTTCTGAATGGAGCCAAAATTTGGAGCCGAACCTATAAATTATCCGACTAATGCATATTTCTAGTCTGAAATCCCTTCCTCAAACACTTCTTTCGACAGCTTCACTACACGAGAGCCCTCGATCTCCGCTGGTAGAAAGAACTCCAATTCCTGATCAATCCCCACCGCAAAGAGTTTTCGCCAATCAATAAGAGCTTCGCCAGACATAGCCCAACAAAACCCCTAAAAACCTTCACAGAATTAGAAGAGAAAATCACCCGAGTAGTAGAGCTAAGCTTCGTCTTCACTCGCTATTAGACCAATTAACATGCACCGAGAGAAAAGACATGCTAATGTTGTTTTTGAAAATAATAAATTAAATTTCTTGCAGACACAAAAGTGACACTTTTACCTTATTTTTTTTTAATTTTCAGATCGAAGCGAAAATGATAGAAGTAGAAGAAAATGTGATTTTTATGAACTGGCTACGGCCTGTTGTGTCGGTAGAGATGTATAAGACACGAAAGTCGCTGTGAATTTCTAAGATATTTTTTCAACTTGATATGTATGTGCTTTGATATTTTTCTATTAAGTTATGGAGATTATAAAATAATATATGTTCTAAATATTCTTAACGATTTGATAATGACTGTTTAATCAACATACTACAGTTGTTTTGATATTATTTTAATGATGAAATGAATCGGCAAATTAACAAATTGTGGTGGCTGTTTGCCAATCCAACTAGGGAAAATGACGGCTTTTTACCCAATTCGTATATATATTCTTTTGGATAAAATGGTGGCTGTTTATTAAATTGTGGTGGCGTATGGCTTTTTTTTAAAATTATATTATTAATTGTATTTTTTTAGTTCAATATGTTTTTTTATTTTCGTCACGTAATCAGAAAATATATTAATACGAGAACTAATTTAAGATGAATATTAGAATAAAAATAATTTTAAAATAAATAGTATTTGGATAAAATACAGAAAATGGCAACTTGTGATGGTCTGAAGATGCTTTTAACCTTATATTAAAATATATATTAGATTTGTTGATTAAATAAAAAATAATATTTATTAGATTTTGTATATATTATTATATTGAAAATCATTAAAATCAGTGAAAAAGTAGTTGAATTGATATAAAAAATAATTTTAGAAAAAAAATCAACATTTTTAAAATATAAAATTTAATATTTCTTTTTAAAAATTAATTTCAATCAAACTACCAGTATGGTGATAAAAAACTCGTATTAAAATAAAATTTTAATTGATATTAAATCTGAATTTAGTTTTACAATAGATAAATGAATTGATATTAATTTATTAAATATATATTGTATTGAATTTTTGTTTAAAAGTAAAGCGTGTTTACCAAATATTTAAATGATTTTTAATAGAATCAATCCTTTTGTTAATTTAAAACCGTTGAATAAATTAATACAATAATTAAACATTTTATTGATCTAATCCATGACTTAATTTTTAAAACATGGATGTTTCGTTGAACTTTGAAAAGGACGGCATTGTGGTAAGGGGAGGTCAAAGGAGGTTGACGTGACGCGCGTAGGTTAGGCGAGTGGGCGATGAATTTTGGTAGGGTAGATCTCAATAGCCAAGTTGGCCTGACATGGGCCGGTTCTGGCTGATCCCATGTTTTTGAGTGCGTCAAACTCAAAATTACCCCTTTTTCAACTCTTGTTTTTTATTAATCCGGATTGTTTCGTGTTGTACACTTAAATTTGGTGAGTGTATTTTTTAATAAAAATTTTATACATACATAATGACTCGAATTTCAAATATTATTTAAATGATATCAAGTTATTTAATATTTGAATTAACCTTGTTAGTATTATCGTGTAAGCTTTAATAATAGGCTAAACTACTTAAATGTTCACTTTAGTTTCACAAGTGTTCATTTTCGCTAATCTAATTTAACAAAAATAATGTTTCCATCACTTATGTCATTGATTGATAACTTTTCTGCCAGTTTTTATTTATTTATAATATTTTGATTATTGAGATACCAAATGTTATTAGTTTGGTAATTTGACATGGTAGTGAAAGAGGATATTTTTTAGTCCGACTATTAAACTTTTGATAAATTATTAATTTGACCGTTAAATTTTAAAAAAAATATATAAATTTGACCATTTATATTCAAATAAAATATTAATTTAACACATAAATCTAATCAAAGTCCCATTATCGTTAATCACCACATCATTGGCCACTAACTACCGTCGTAGTCGTCGTATCATTGATGACTATTGTACCTTAAAATTTTCAAGTCTCTCATTTTCGTCTCATGAACACAAATTTAATGTTTGTTTCATTAAAAATGTCCTGAAGTCCATAAATCTAACATAGAACTCTTTATTTTTTTTAAATTATTACACCGTATTTATAAAGCTATAAGTTGATTTTTTTAAAGAAATAAAAATACTAAAAATATAAATCTATAAATATTTTAGTAGAATATGTTTGTTTGTAAAAAAAATACTACAAAATAAGGATGAATGAAAAAAAAATTAAAAACTGAAGTTTTCATACAATTACATTTAGGGTAAAGTATATAAGTAGTCCCCAAACTTTTAGGACGCTTGCATTTTGATCACCCAACTTTTGAAACTTGCAATACAATCATTAAACTTTTAGTTCGTTTTCAGTAAGGTCACTGTCGTTACCTTCTGCTATTTTTTGCTGATGTAGCACTTAACTCCCGTTAAAACCCCTTCTTCTTCTTATTATCTTGTTCTCGTTCACCCTGCCTCTTGTCACCACCTCCGACCAACAGTGGCTTACACCGCCATCACCATCGCCACTGACGTCACCTCCTGACTAATCCCTAACCCTCGATTTATACTCACCATCCACCATTCATCCTAAACCACGAGAAGACCTCAATGCCTTTTTTTTTGTTTTCAACCAATGGCAGATAGATGAGGGACAACGTTGATGAGGCACGACTGACTGGGTTTTTCTCAAAATGACGTAAGGACTCCAACAGTGGTGGCGGTGTGGTAAACGGACGATCCAATCGATTAGGAATCGATGAAAACAGAAGAGGCATTGGGGTTTTCTGATGAGATTCGTGGCCCTCTCTACGACGAATGGAGGTGAGTCTCGGTATGTGGCTAGTGGGGTTTTGGTCGGAATGGGGCAGTGCTCTAACTAGTACCGATGGTGACAGTCACCGACAATTGATGATGAAAATTGGGGATGGGTGTTCGAATAGTCATCTCGTGATTTGGGACGAATTATGGAAGGTGAGTATGAATCAAGGGTCGGGAGGTGACGTTAGTGACGGTTGTGATGGCAATGTGAGCCACCGTTGGTTGTATGTGGGGTGAACGAAAATGGAAGAAGAAGAATAAGAAGGGGGTTTAACGGGAGTTAAGTGCCACGTTAGCAAAAAATAACTAGAGGTAATGGTAGGGACCTTACTGAAAACGAACATAAAGTTCGATGACTGTATTGCAAGTTTCAAAAGTTGGGTAACCAAAATGCAAGTGTCCTATAAGTTTAGGAACTATTCATATACTTTACCCTTACATTTAAAAGTTCAAAGTGCATTAGTTAAAAAAAATTATAAAATATTGGCACCAAAGCGGTTACATGCGAATTGTAACACTTCCTACTCGATTTAGAAATCAAATCCGAGTCAGAAATGTTAAATTATATGATTCAAAACCACGATTTAAAATTTATGTATAATTTTTTTTTTACGACGATCAATGCAATTTAATCACTTTTACAAATATTGGAAACTATTCAAAAATATTCATATGACAGCTTAATCACATGCTAAATCATTAAGGGAATTTAAGAATTAAGGAGTAAATTATGTTAACTTGTAGTAAATCAATCGTAAATAATCTTGGTTGAATGTAATTGTATTAAACTTATATTTTTTTTATATAACAAATATTATAAAATTAATTTTGAGCTTAATTAAATTACAATTTAAAGTCTAAAGTAACTTGAAAAGTATGTTTTGAATATTTTCCAATTTAGTTGAACATTTTCAAACAATTATTTGATCATCTTTGTGCTTAAAAGTTTAGTTTCCTAAAAAAATTGGCTCAAAAGATAATCAATTTATCAAAAGGACCAATCCTTTTTTATCACAATAACCAATGGACCGATCTAATTTAAAAATGGATCAATTATTTTTCAGAAAGATCAATTATTTACTAGAAAATCCTAAAAAGATCATTCTCTTTACAAAAAAGATCTCTTTCATAAATAAATCTATTTCTCGTGCCATAAATGCTAATTTTCTTTTTAGGTAACGGTCCTATTATATCCCCATTGGCTTCTAACGACTAGAAATCATAGAGAATTTATAAAAACAAGCTCAAAGTATATGAAGATCAAGAAGAATAATTGAAAGCAAATATCAAACCAAAGAGTCTTAGTGAACTTATTTGACGTATATTGTTTTGTAAAATAATTGTAGGTTTAATTGTTTACATTGTTCAAGTGTCATTTTGGTAGAGCTTAATTATGGAAATTTATTTGTTTTGTGAGATTTTCTTTTTTTTACTAAATTTTTAATTCATCTTTTGGAGAAAGTGTAATCAAGGTATTGCAGTATAAATTTTGAGAATTGTTTTAAGGTTACATATTATCCTTAAAGATAAACAAATCTAGTAGATCTGAGAAATCTTTAGTGTGGATACTATGATAATTGATGTAGAATACAAGTTTTAAATTCGAGCTCTTAGCATTTCTCTTACAAACACCAATGATCCATAATACGAACATGGCCTCTATATAATTTCTCTTAACATAAAAATATACCATTAATATATATTTAATGTTTTAGGGGCTAAATTGATCAAATCAGAAACTTGCTATAGATACCCATTTTGTCTGGGTTATCATTTAATAATAATATTATTATTATTATTAATTTTTGTTACCATTTTTTTACAAACCCGAATTAGGATGAAATAAAAGAAGCTCAACCGGGCCACCACCCATACCTGGCCCAACAAGCAACCCAACCCAAACCCTGATTCTATTAACTGCCATACCCTGCTCCATCAGACCCAATTGAAGCCCTATACCCTACCATTCCCACGTGAAGCAAAACACTCCATGCATGCTCAGTTGCTGCCAAGCCTTAGAGGATGTCACACACGCCACCCCTACCAAAGCCATCACTCAATCACCAATATATCAATCAAATGCAGAACATTATTTAAAAAAAAGAGA